AAGTATTTCTTTGTAGGATCTAAATGGGGATTTGAAAGTGTCCCACACCTATTAGACTTATTAAGTGAAAATTCAGCCTCTTTGCATGCCAAAAGTCTGGGAGGCATCTAGGAGAATATGACATAATCTATTCACAAAATTTAAAGTACAAATGCATGACCTCTCTCCCTCACTTTTCCTCAAAGCACAATTGACGCAGTCTTAACAGCAGAGAAGAGACATGACCCAAACATTCTCAAATCTTGAAAATAAGATGATAGGACCCTTTCAACCCTTAGACAACTTTTCCCTTCACAGCCAGGCAGAAAGCAGTTCTAAAGAGAATGTTGATCAGGGAGGTTTGGAAGTGTCAGCATTCATGCTATACTAAAACACTCTGGAAATCCTATTATTTTCTCAGCAATAGTCTTTAAAAATGAAATAACAGTAACAATAATGTTTACCTAAAGAGCACTCATTTTGCATTTCATTTCCTCACATTCCAATATTGTGTTGTGATTTCAGATAAAAAGAAGCTAAATCTTTTTTTTTTTAATTTCTGAGAATGTATTTGTGACAGAATTCTTTCTTCCTAAACCAGGTTACATTTAAAGTAACAATGAATTTGAAGATTAGAATCTAAAATGGTATCGCACAAGTTGTATGCTTGTTGGAGTTCAGAGCTAAAAAAATAAAAACAAAAGAAATACAGAAAACACCACACTAATTTCAGCTAGTTATAACAAACATTTTTAAAGCTTTAACATTAAAAACAGGGGAATGTGGGCACCCCATCATGAAGGACCATAGGTTTATAGTCAAAGGAGTTTGATATGAACAGTGCACATCATTTGCTATGGACACCTAAGGATAGAAAACTCCCTGGGCCTCTGTTTCTTTCTCTGCAGGATAAAAACACTAGTATGAGGCAAATTAAATAAAAACTATATGAGTTCTCCTAAAATCTGCCAAAAATATGCTCTCAGCAATTTGTTTCCTTTCCCTCCTCATCTCGAATATTATCTACTGTAATTTAAAAGGTATTAACACAGTCATCATGAGGAGATTAAGAAAAAAACAGAAGGGTGTTAACTGTTTCAGAAGTTTCAAATAAGAAAAATGGTGGAGGTGGGGGTGGGGAGAGGGGAAGAAAGAAAGAAAAAAGAAACCCAAGATTCCAGACTTCTTTGACCATTATTTTCCAAATTAAGAACCACGATGTTTGAATATAGAAAAAATAAAAAATCGTGATGTTTGAGCCAGGTCAAGGACAGGTCTGATGGAAGCAATCTCGAACTTGCTTCCCTATCTGTTCTGACAAGGGGTATTTATGAGGAAAAAGTACTAAAGGGAAATTTGTTTCCAGAAATTGACAAGTTGTTTCTTTTCATAAAAGTCACATAATAAAGCCATATAATAAAACATAAGCAATATAATAAAAATATGGAAGGAAGACGCTGAAGGGTCTAAACTAGCTTAAATGTAATTGACCATAGTCGTTTAAAAAGAGGGTCACTTTAACAGGTGCTAAAATTAGGGATGCTCACCACATCCCAAATCTAAAGCTACTAATTTAGATTGTGTTTGATCCTCTCTCAAAATTATAATCAAGATCCAAGAGAGTAGGCCAGTAAGATACAGAGTGAGTCAGTAACATGTAATCCCCAATTTTGCAAAGACTAACCTGGGAAAGACATGCTTCCTCGGCCTCTTCCCCCTCCCTCCCCTCCCCCGCCACCACACTTTTATTTAAATTATAATATCTAAATCTTTAACTTGATCCCAGTAAGGAAGAACTTCCTCTAGGGAGGGCCCGCTTTCAGATATTACTCATTTATTTATATCTTGTTGTAATACAACTGGATTATTCTACTTGCATTAAAAATGAAGATTATGAAGGCTTGGAATTAAGAGAAGGGGCTGAAAATGAGAGGTTCTGGGTAACAAAGCCAAACTTTACCTACTTAAAAAACATCATTATTTGATCTAGGATTAGACTTAATTATAATAATTTGCTCTAACCATGTGCCTTTATCCCTCTTTTTCTAAACACTTAATTCATAATTACGTTTGTCAAGTTGTTAAAGGTAATGACCCTATTTTATCATCAGGGGAAAAAAAATGAGACCAAACCAAAACAGATGTTGTATGAATTGCTAGTAGTTGACCTTGTTAGAATTACTAGACACAGGATTTCTGACTTGAATAGTCTCAATAATATTGAAATAAGGGAGGGGACAGGCCATCTGTGGGCCTCTTTGCAGCTACTTCTTCCAACATATCTGACTTCACTGGTGCTCAGCTGAGAAGTGGAAATCAAGCTTATCAATGAAAATGGTGGAAACGATCAGTTCAGGCATACAGCTCAGTATCCTCACTGTATAGACCTACATAAATCTGGGTGCCTCTGGTTGCTGCTCTAACCACCCAGTCATGTTCTTTTTATTTATAAACAGACACATCTTCATATCTAGGGAGAAAATGAACTTTGGTTAACAACTTCTACATTTCAAATCAAAGCAAACATTTTTAAACTCAAAATTTAATAAAATTCATTTTAAAAAACAGTAAAATGCATAGTACTAGACATTTAGCAAAAAAATTACAAGATCCAAGAGAGTAGGCCAGTAAGATACAGAGTGAGTCAGTAACATGTAATCCCCAATTTTGCAAAGACTAACCTGGGAAAGACATGCTTCCTCGGCCTCTTCCCCCTCCCTCCCCTATGCTATACATACTAATTTCAATAACATAGGGCACTGGATTAAAAATGGAAAGTATAATGGTTGTGTATGAGGCAGGACTGAACTGAATGGGAAAGAGAAAAAAGCTTCAGTCTGTGATATTTACCCTGGGGTTTACTGTTTGGTCAGTGCCCTGCAACAGGAGGCCTGGCTTAGAACAAGACAGTATGACCCCAAGTGTCAATCTTCCTAAGTGTCCTCGTCCTTTCTCATCTTCCCCTTCTCATTCCTGACAGTACTGGTGGCCAAACAGAGAAGAAGCAGGCACACCTTTGAATTTCTCTTAGACCATGACACCTTTAGTTTTGACTTGGGAAAACAAACACAAACTAGTGGCCCAAGGATTTTGAATCTTGCTACCTCCATTACACAGAAAACTCTTGATTATTTTGCCTTTCTACCTATAGCCATCCTTCTCAACCTAACACTCTTAGGAAAGTGCTGTAAGTGCTGGAAGCAGATCAACAGATATCTTCCCAAGTCCTCTAATTGTGTATATGCTAGGCTGATATTTTATCCTTTTATTATTTAGTATGTGAGTTTATTAATGATATTGTATTGGAAAGCTAGGGCTGTTTTTTTGTTGTTGTTATTGTTTTGGGTTATGACAGTTTTTGAGTTGATAGAAGACATCAAGAAAAAAAGCAAACAAAATGAGGAAAGAGAAATCAACAGTGGAACAGTCATACACATTAAGGAACTGAGAAGACAGTTAAGAGCTGAAAGACAAGGACACAATTGTACGCACTGAAAGTTAACTTTGAGCAAACCTCCTGCAGAATTTTTACAAATTTTATAGCAAAGATTATCAATTTCTCTCTAAAAACAGTTTTTAAAAATATCTTCTTGTAAGTTCTGAAGTACATCTATAATTAACAGGTCTCTGCAGAATAGTCTCTTTGCTTCATCTACTGTACCAGCACTTCTCAGTGTTTACACACATGTACTCAGACCTCAATGAGGTTTATTAACTATTGATGGTTCTTGGCATCCTAGGGCTTCCCAGGTCACATCTCAGTGTATTCTTTACTGATCCTTTAATGAAAATCACTGACATGAATAATAAATTCAGCATCGCTTAATATACATATGCAACTTTCATAACAGTAGTAAAGACAGGCCAGTTATACTGCCATATGAAATATTGTGGCCTGAAAATGGATATGTCAAGTAAATCAGAGAGCTATCACTTATGCATGGAAAATAAAAATAAAATTAAAAATATAAAATAAATTAAAAAATGAATAAACCAAAACAAACAAATAAATAAATACAAAGATAAATAAATAAGTACATAACCCTGAACTCAGAAATAGAGATGGTGGTTGACAGAGGCTGGGGTGGTGAGGAAGTAGGGAAAATGAAGATGCATTGATCAAAAAGTTTAAACTTCCACTTGTAAAACAAGAGGAAGTTATGAAGATCTGATATGTAGCCAGGTGATTATCATTAATAATTCTCTATAATTTAAATTTGTTAAGAGGATCTTAAGCATTCTCAGCAAAAGACAAGGTAACCATGTGAGGCAATGGATTGTGAATTAACTTGATGGTGAAAAACATTTCACAATGTATACGTGTACCAAATCAGTGTATTGTAAACTCTCAACGTATACAATTTTATTTGTAAATTATAATTTAAAGCTAAAAATAGTATTCTATAGGAAAAAAAAGAGAGAGAGAGAAATGCACTGGCATGGGCTCAAGTCTACCCCCAAAGTTGACACTGATAGAAAAGCAGCTATTTTCAATAACCAAGGCTCATGCTCTAACCCCATGGTCTGGGTGAGAGAGAAAGAAGCCCTTTAAAAATGACCCATGAGCCCTATTTTTCAAAGGGCTAATATGTTATCTTTCGAATTTAAATCTTGTGGAAAGCTCCTCTGTAATTTCCTACTACAACAAGATCATGACATGTGCCACATTTTATTTCCCTTGACTTTGTACGTGCATAATAATGAAGGAGATAACCGGATAGTGACATTCAAAAAGAATCCCCCCTCCACCACTAGAGGTACGCAGGATGCAGGAGGTATTAGGAAAGATGCACAAAGATTTCATATCTACTCAGAACACAAACTTCCAACTCTTTTGAGACACTCCATTCTTTTTGGCCCTAATGTCCTCCCAAAGAGCACAGGCTGAGTGGAAAGATGCGGACCAGTGTGCCAGTTCACAGCTAGAATGACAGCTATGGGGAACTGGAGATGCTACAGCGCCCCAGCCTCCATTGATCCCCTTGGCAATTCTTATTTCATCCTGAGAACGTGATACTTACTCTTGGACTGCTCTGGCTATGGAAAGGGCCGTAGATCCAGTTTCATTAACGCTATCTAAGGTCACATTTGGCAGGTCATCGTCATCACTGTCACTTTTACTTTGTCTGGGAGATAGGCCTCGGGGGTCCATTTGTGCTGGGAAAAAAAGGCATATATAATGAATTAAAATTAGTGTGCAGAAGTTAACCTTGCCCTGGACCAACATCAAGCATGGAATATCTTTTCTGTGCATTATCACACAAATGGAATTTTCTAGACAATACAGGAATTAGCAAAAGCCATGTATTTCACGTACTGAGCACTCAACTGACTTTTTTCCCTTGTTCATTTGATTTGCAAACCTACATCAGCTACCAAGAGTGTCTGTCAGTGCGCGATGACAGAATAGAAACTATAAAATCTGCAACATTACAACTCCCGGGTGGTCAAAAGCTGATTATGTAGCTCATGAGCTACTGTCCCAATCTCTGGTTTCTCCTCCTTCTTGCATCTGCTGCCAGACTTCTGGCCACCTCACTGCTCATTAGCACTTTCCCTGAAAGGGAAAGAGCATGAGGTACAGGAGGTATTATTTGCTTCATGCTCCTCATAGTAAGTTTAAAAGAGAACAAAGTTGGCACGGATGAAAGTGTTAGGTACTTTTCCTGTTTAGAGTGAGCCGCTGTCTCACAGTTCTTTACTGCAGTTCGTGGAGATCTGTGTGCATAAAAATGGCAGAGGTGGGCAGCATTCGGAATATCTGATTATATGTGCTAGAAAGTGCTCTTCATCTCCATCCTGATTTACTTTTCAAAACAGGCATTTCCAGGTATGATTTTCCTCTAACCATAAACTTGCCAAAGCAAGAAACTGATGTTCTGACCCTGTTGACCAGCATCATCATCAGATCCTTTCAATGAGAGGTTTCTGTTAAAATGTAGTGTTCGCCCATGCTGTTTTAAATTAGATTTCATTTCTGTTTTCTTTCTGGTAGGACAATTTTAGCAACGACTGCCTAGAATTCCCATCAGCCTTCACCTCAAGAACCAAGTAAGCACACTTTCTCAACTGAAAGTACTGCACTAGTTTATAACTGTGTTGTTAAAATATAAAACTTCAATCCACCCTGATTCAGTCCAGATTGTTCTCCTCAAAGACATCGATGTAAGACTTCCAAAAACACCACTACTGAAAAAGGAAAGCAAATGTGCTTCAAATCATGGTTACAATGTTTGGGTACATGGATTTAAAATCATGGTTAGGCCGGGCATGGTAGCACACGCCTGTAATCCTAACAGCTCAGGAGGCTGAGACAGGAGAATCGGGAGTTCAAAACCAGCCTCAGCAATAGCCAAGTGAGATGTTAAGCAACTCAGTGAGACCTTGTCTCTAAATAAAATACAAAATAGGGCTGGGAATGTGGCTCAGTGGTCAAGTGCCTGAGTTCAATCCCAGGTACCAAAAAGAAAAAGAAAAGTAAAATCACAGTTAAAATGACATTTGATAAAAAAGCATCTTTACTATATATCATACATTATATAGAACCATATGGAAATGTTGATATTTCACTAATTTTTACTTATAAACAGGCAATTTCTTATGATTATACACAATATTTACATTCTGGCTGGAAAAGCTATACCTAGTGAGTTCCCACAGATCCCTAATTAAAGTTGATTGGAAGGAACTGGCTTCTGTTGAAACCAGTGTGTGTTTTAGTGTATATGACAAACATTCTGCCTATATGTACATATATATATATATAAATCAAAATGTGTTTTGCACAGTACAAGGGATCAACACACATTGGATGAATTAAAGAGAAAATAATCGAAACAATCTAAGGTTGTAGACTTCAACTGAAGACAAATTTGCCTACCCCCTAACCCCCCAAATACTGTCAGTATCTGGAGACATTGTGGTTTGTTTTAACTGGGGGTGGGGAAGGGGAGGATACTAAAGGCATCTAGTGGGCAAGGGGTCAAGGATACTGCTAAATATCCTAGAATACACATGAGCATTGGTCTCCCATGGCGAAGAATTTACCAGTATAAAATCTCAACAGTACCCAGGTTGAAAAACTGACCTAGAGACCTAAGAGTCTATATGTAGAAAGGTGTTACACCTTACTAAGTTCAATCACTCGTCTCCTAAATTCAGTCACTAATGAACACATTCAATCAGAGGCTGGATCATCCATATTTTTTGGCCTTTTTCTAAAGTAAGAATAATTCACTGTCACGTGACTGCCCTCATAACTTACTCAAATATAGCCTTCACTCCAACTGCTAGGAGTTATGGAGGAAATCCATTGAGAGGTTTTGAATGTTTGCTTTGTAGCACTCACTATAAGACAAAAAGACTTTATTTGCCATCGGATCCCTAGAGAAGATGCTTCAGAAGAGAGAAAAAGCAAAATGTTCTACCACCACCTGATAACACAGAGCTTAACTTCTCGGTCACTCTAATAGCACTGAAGGTACCATATCGTTAAGATTCATTCTGGCCAGAGGCAACAGAAACTGGCTCCAGCTAACTTTTATTAAAAGAATACACTCTCATGCATCACTTAACGACATGGCTAGATTCTGAGAAATGCACCGTTAGGCGAGTTCATTCTTGTACCAACATTAAAGAGTGTGCTTACAAAAACTGAGACGGCTAAGAGGCCACTAGGCAAAATAATCTGTGGGACCACCACTGTATGCATGGTCTGTGACTGACTGAAGTATCATTAAGCAAAGCATGACCATACTGGGAAGATACTGAGCAGCTCAAAATGGAAAGTAAGGATGACTATCCAGCTCAGGATTCAGGGAAGATACAAGCATTTCAGCCAGAAATTCATAGATAGTTTCTTTCTGGGCAATCCTGTTCTAGAATGATTCATTTAACAGCCGTTCCTAACTATCCAAAGCCAGCCAAGAAAATGAATACCATATTGTATGGTATTACATATGCCTGTAAATGTCAACAATGCAACATTTAAAGCTGTCCCAACATCACACACAAAGATGCCTTTGCCAAGGTATCTAATTAGCAAATAGCCAAAGGAAAAAGAATATTCTAGAAGTGTCATTTTGTTCAAACAGCTGGAGTTCTCATACATAAGTAATACAAACCAAGGAAGATATAGGCAGTGAACCAAGAAACAATCTGGCTCTGAAAGTTCAAGTCTAACTGTATGAAACACTTCAAATAATTTGAGAGAGAGTTGTGATCATCTAAATTATGTTTATATCTTATTGAAAGTATAAAATATGTTAAACAAGATATCCTTTTTGATGTACTTTTTAGGGTATCATAATTGGGGATTTCTTTCCAATATTTTCAACAAATATTATGAAATACATCTGCTACCACCATGCTGGGAAACTGTTTTTACCCATACCTTCAGCCAAGCTGAGGAAGTAATTAGAAAGGCTTTTTAAAATCTGCATTGCTGATTAGGTCAGATGATTAGCTTATCTACATAATTCCATAATTCCACTCTATTTTTATTAAATGTGGAATAGGGATATCTACCCTAGTTCACCTCCATTAGTCTTTGCACAACTGAGCCCATGTATGAAGGCCCAATTCTCTGGGGTGCTTATTTGGAAGGCAATATAAAAGGTACCTGGGCAACCAGAACAAGAACAAAAAATTTACTTCCCTAAGTAGAACAGGAGATGATATATCAACATTCAGCATTTACCTTGGAGATTTTATTTCTCTTAAATGAAAAAGAGGTCAGTTCTGGGAAACCCAGCCCCTGCAGTTCAAGGTTTCTGGTACCCTGAATGAATTTCAATCCATGTGACAAAATCCCAGGAAGAAATACACAGAATCCCAACTCCTGAATTTGAATATGCAACTTTCAAATACCCAGCTATGGTAGACTGTTACTATAAAGATCTAACGTATCACATCTCCCTGTGTCTGGGTCCTGGCGTGGCCACTTTTCATGAGGCCTGGGCTTACTATATGACTTGATGTGGCCAATGGGACATTAGGGAGTGGGGCACAAGAAGAGGCTTCAAAACCACTTGCACACTGGGCTTCCCCTCTCTCTTGCTGTTTTTAGAAGCTAGTCAGCAAGTGAATAGGCCTGGGCAAGCCTCTAGGAGACTTCTTTGGAGGCAGAGTAGCCAATCTCAGCCAGCAGTCATAAAAGAAAGCCATGTCAGACCAGCCACGTTCCAGCTACCAGGTGACTGTAGCCACATGAAGGGCCCCTGTGAGGTCAGCATGAAAACTGCCCAACTAAACCCACCCCCCACTTTTGACACACAGAATCATGTACAAATAAGATAGTTGCTATTTTAATCCACTAAGTTTTGGGGTGATTTCTTGGGTAGCAGTATGAAATCCCAATGTCATGTTAACTCTCCCAGGTCCTTCCTGAGATTTTCTAGTAATGATGTACACAAACTACAGCGCTAGTTACTGTCAGCCTACCCACGCTCTTCTCCTGCCAAGTGGCAATCTGCCCTTAGTGACAAAAACTTAAGTGGTACATTAATATAAGAAGGAAAAGAAAATCTATATAGTACATTGTACATCATCTACTTTTCAATTCAGAATATTTAAAATGTATTTGTAGACATCAGGGACATATCTTTGATCCATCATTATTGCCCAAGCAGGGTTTTTTGATTCCAAGGGGCCATCCACTCGGTATTACTGCTCAGGTAAACAAACCTCTGCTGTCCCTTCTCTCAAGCTCATTCTTGACAGGAAGCTCATATGGGTAGATCCTCTCAGGTCACTCAAAGTTCTATGTCATGTTTCACTCTTTTTTTTTTTTTTGGTATTGCAAATTGAACCCAGGAGCACTTAACCACTGAGCCACATCCCAAGCCCTTTTTGTACTTTATTAAGAGACGGGGCCATACTGACTTGTTGGGGCTGGCTTTGAACTCACGATCCTCCTGCCTCAGCCTTGTGAGCCACTGGGATTACAGATGTGCACTATCAACCTCAACTGGCTCTCTTGAACACACGACACATTTGAACTTTTTCCTTCCCCACCTAACAGTAAACTGACACAGACACACGGCCCCCACGTCCACTGAGATACCCATCCCACTCACCCCCAACTCGATGCTGTCAAAAGATTAAACGCTTCTAATTTCTTTAGGGATAACCCACTCATTCAGCTATTCATAAGGAAA